ACCACCAACACCAACATCAGCTGACTAATGGCTACAACCAACACCATCTGACTAATGGCTACCACCAACACCAATATCAGCTGACTAATGGATACCACCAACACCAACATTACATGACTAATGGCTACCACCAACACCAACATTACATGACTAATGGCTACCACCAACACCAACATCAGCTGACTAATGGCTACCACCAACACCAACATCAGCTGACTAATGGCTACCACCAACACCAACATCACCTGACTAATGGCTACCACCAACACCAACATCAGCTGACTAATGGCTACCACCAACACCAACACCACCTGACTAATGGCTACCACCAACACCAACATCAGCTGACTAATGGCTACCACCAACACCAACATCAACTGACTAATGGCTACCACCAACACCAACATCAGCTGACTAATGGCTACCACCAACACCAACATTACATGACTAATGGCTACCACCAACACCAACATCAGCTGACTAATGGCTACCACCAACACCAACATCAGCTGACTAATGGCTACCACCAACACCAACATCACCTGACTAATGGCTACCACCAACACCAACATCAGCTGACTAATGGCTACCACCAACACCAACATCACCTGACTAATGGCTACCACCAACACCAACATTACATGACTAATGGCTACCACCAACACCAACATTACATGACTAATGGCTACCACCAACATCAGCTGACTAATGGCTACCACCAACACCAACACCACCTGACTAATGGCTACCACCAACACCACCTGACTAATGGCTACCACCAACACCAACATCAGCTGACTAATGGCTACCACCAACATCACCTGACTAATGGCTACCACCAACACCAACATTACATGACTAATGGCTACCACCAACATCAGCTGACTAATGGCTACCACCAACACCAACACCACCTGACTAATGGCTACCACCAACACCACCTGACTAATGGCTACCACCAACACCAACACCATCTGACTAATGGCTACCACCAACACCAACATCACCTGACTAATGGCTACCACCAACACCAACATCAGCTGACTAATGGCTACCACCAACACCAACATCAGCTGACTAATGGCTACCACCAACACCAACATTACATGACTAATGGCTACCACCAACACCAACATCAGCTGACTAATGGCTACCACCAACACCAACATTACATGATTAATGGCTACCACCAACACCAACATTACATGACTAATGGCTACCACCAACACCAACATCACCTGACTAATGGCTACCACCAACACCAACATCAGCTGACTAATGGCTACCACCAACACCACCTGACTAATGGCTACCACCAACACCAACATCAGCTGACTAATGGCTACCACCAACACCAACACCAGCTGACTAATGGCTACCACCAACACCAAGATCAGCTGACTAATGGCTACCACCAACACCAACATCACCTGACTAATGGCTACCACCAACACCAACATCAGCTGACTAATGGCTACCACCAACACCAACATCACCTGACTAATGGCTACCACCAACACCAACATCAGCTGACTAATGGCTACCACCAACACCAACACCAGCTGACTAATGGCTACCACTAACACCAACATCAGCTGACTAATGGCTACCACCAACACCAACATCACCTGACTAATGGCTACCACCAACACCAACATCATCTGACTAATGGCTACCACCAACATAACCTGACTAATGGCTACCCCCAACACCAACATCAGCTGACTAATGGCTACCACCAACACCAACATCAGCTGACTAATGGCTACCACCACCAACAACATCACCTGACTAATGGCTACCACCAACACCAACATCACCTGACTAATGGCTACCACCAACACCAACACCATCTGACTAATGGCTACCACCAACATCAACATCACCTGACTAATGGCTACCACCAACACCAACACCACCTGACTAATGGCTACCACCAACATCACCTGACTAATGGCTACCACCAACATCACCTGACTAATGGCTACCACCAACACCAACATCACCTGACTAATGGCTACCACCAACACCAACATCAGCTGACTAATGGCTACCACCAACACCAACATTACATGATTAATGGCTACCACCAACACCAACATCATCTGACTAATGGCTACCACCAACATAACCTGACTAATGGCTACCACCAACACCAACATCAGCTGACTAATGGCTACCACCAACATAACCTGACTAATGGCTACCACCAACACCAACATCAGCTGACTAATGGCTACCACCAACACCAACATCAACTGACTAATGGCTACCACCAACACCAACATCAGCTGACTAATGGCTACCACCAACACCAACATCAGCTGACTAATGGCTACCACTAACACCAACATCAGCTGACTAATGGCTACCACCAACATTACATGACTAATGGCTACCACCAACATAACCTGACTAATGGCTACCACCAACACCAACATCAGCTGACTAATGGCTACCACCAACACCAACATTACATGACTAATGGCTACCACCAACACCAACATCAGCTGACTAATGGCTACCACCAACATAACCTGACTAATGGCTACCCCCAACACCAACATCAGCTGACTAATGGCTACCACCAACACCAACATCAGCTGACTAATGGCTACCACCAACACCAACATTACATGACTAATGGCTACCACCAACACCAACATCAGCTGACTAATGGCTACCACCAACATAACCTGACTAATGGCTACCCCCAACACCAACATCAGCTGACTAATGGCTACCACCAACACCAACATCAACTGACTAATGGCTACCACCACCAACAACATCACCTGACTAATGGCTACCACCAACACCAACACCATCTGACTAATGGCTACCACCAACATCAACATCACCTGACTAATGGCTACCACCAACACCAACACCACCTGACTAATGGCTACCACCAACATCACCTGACTAATGGCTACCACCAACATCACCTGACTAATGGCTACCACCAACACCAACATCACCTGACTAATGGCTACCACCAACACCAACATCAGCTGACTAATGGCTACCACCAACACCAACATTACATGATTAATGGCTACCACCAACACCAACATCATCTGACTAATGGCTACCACCAACATAACCTGACTAATGGCTACCACCAACACCAACATCAGCTGACTAATGGCTACCACCAACACCAACATGAACTGACTAATGGCTACCACCAACACCAACATCAGCTGACTAATGGCTACCACTAACACCAACATCAGCTGACTAATGGCTACCACCAACATCACCTGACTAATGGCTACCACCAACATCACCTGACTAATGGCTACCACCAACACCAACATCAACTGACTAATGGCTACCACCAACACCAACATCAGCTGACTAATGGCTACCACCAACACCAACATCAGCTGACTAATGGCTACCACCAACACCAACATCAACTGACTAATGGCTACCACCAACACCAACATCAGCTGACTAATGGCTACCACCAACACCAACATCAGCTGACTAATGGCTACCACCAACACCAACATCATCTGACTAATGGCTACCACCAACATAACCTGACTAATGGCTACCACCAACACCAACATCACCTGACTAATGGCTACCACCAACACCAACATTACATGATTAATGGCTACCACCAACACCAACATTACATGACTAATGGCTACCACCAACACCAACATTAGCTGACTAATGGCTACCACCAACATAACCTGATTAATGGCTACCACCAACACCAACATTACATGACTAATGGCTACCACCAACACCAACATTACATGACTAATGGCTACCACCAACACCAACATCACCTGACTAATGGCTACCACCAACACCAACATCAGCTGACTAATGGCTACCACCAACACCAACATTACATGACTAATGGCTACCACCAACACCAACATCACCTGACTAATGGCTACCACCAACACCAACATTACATGATTAATGGCTACCACCAACACCAACATTACATGACTAATGGCTACCACCAACACCAACATCAGCTGACTAATGGCTACCACCAACACCAACACCATCTGACTAATGGCTAACACCAACACCAACATCACCTGACTAATGGCTACCACCAACACCAACATCACCTGACTAATGGCTACCACCAACACCAACACCATCTGACTAATGGCTAACACCAACACCAACATCACCTGACTAATGGCTACCACCAACACCAATATCAGCTGACTAATGGCTACCACCAACACCAACATCAGCTGACTAATGGCTACCACCAACACCAACATCACCTGACTAATGGCTACCACCAACACCAACATCAGCTGACTAATGGCTACCACCAACATCACCTGACTAATGGCTACCACCAACACCAACATCAGCTAACTAATGGCTACCACCAACACCAACATAACCTGATTAATGGCTACCACCAACACCAACATCACCTGACTAATGGCTACCACCAACACCAAAATCAGCTGACTAATGGCTACCACCAACACCAACATTACCTGACTAATGGCTATACCGGCTCACCTCAACATTTGTAACACCATCCAGTGGTCCGGTGATTGTATGATTGAAGACGCGGCCATGTCCCAGTGATTGTATGATTGAAGACGCGGCCATGTCTCAGTGTCCCAATGATTGGATGATTGAAGACGCGACAGTTTTAATTCTGAAGTAAAAACTAAAGAGTGAAAAAAAAGGCGCGTAACAATGACGTGTCACCTTGAGGCGTCCACAGGGACCATGTGATGACGTCATTTCTATATCTCATTTTCGACAAGTCAGCAGATATCATCTCATGTCATCTCATGTCATCTCGTGTCATCTGGTGTCATCTCATGTCATGAAATATTTTATTTCATTTGCCGTATGTCTAGATCAATATTTTCGAATGTATTGATTGAACTGTTATCAGAGACGTTTTGAAGCTTGACTTACCGACAAAATACTCCCCCCCCACCACCCACACCCGCCTGATTCTGAAAACCAAACGGTCACATCCCCAGATGACGTCATTGCTCACGAGATCAGGCGACGTCATGGTGCCAGAGCTACTCGCTACCTGTCTGCTCCTGTCTCTGCTACCTGGTGCTCACGCAGGTGACGTCATCGTTGAGACCGGGTATGGCCGCATACGTGGGGTCAGCTCGACCTTAGCCGTGTCTTTCAGGGGCGTGCCCTACGCCAGACCCCCCGTGGGGGCACTCAGGTAAGCATACGATTATTCCAGCGAGAGAGGGTACACCCAACCCCAGTGCACTTAGATAACAACATGCGTGTTACAGGGTTCAAGGTCTGAAGTTGAGGTAATCAAATTACAGAAGGGGGTAATCAAATTACAGAAGGGGGTAATTACATTACAGAAGGGGGTAATTACATTGCAAATTATTAAAAAATTAAAACTGATTAATTCCTGTAAAAACTAGCATACAATTTTCCTCATAAAATAGAACTGGGCAGCACAATGTTAGCCTGTAGGACAGTGTGAGCCTGTAGGACAGTGTGAGACTGTAGCCTGTAAGACAGTGTGAGACTGTAGCCTGTACGACAGTGTGAGACTGTAGCCTGTAAGACAGTGTGAGACTGTAGCCTGTAAGACAGTGTGGGCCTGTAGGACAGTGTGAGCCTGTAGGACAGTGTGAGCCTGTAGGACAGTGTGAGCCTGTAGGACAGTGTGAGCCTGTAAGACAGTGTGAGCCTGTAGCCTGTAAGACAGTGTGAGCCTGTAGGACAGTGTGAGCCTGTAAGACAGTGTGAGCCTGTAGCCTGTAAGACAGTGTGAGCCTGTAGCCTGTAGGACAGTGTGAGCCTGTAGGACAGTGTGAGCCTGTAAGACAGTGTGAGCCTGTAGCCTGTAGGACAGTGTGAGCCTGTAGGACAGTGTGAGCCTGTAGGACAGTGTGAGCCTGTAGCCTGTAAGACAGTGTGAGCCTGTAAGACAGTGTGAGCCTGTAAGACAGTGTGAGCCTGTAGGACAGTGTGAGCCTGTAGGACAGTGTGAGCCTGTAGTACAGTGTGAGCCTGTAAGACAGTGTGAGCCTGTAGCCTGTAGGACAGTGTGAGCCTGTAGGACAGTGTGAGCCTGTAAGACAGTGTGAGCCTGTAGCCTGTAAGACAGTTTGAGCCTGTAGCCTGTAGGACAGTGTGAGCCTGTAGGACAGTGTGAGCCTGTAGCCTGTAGGACAGTGTGAGCCTGTAGGACAGTGTGAGCCTGTAGGACAGTGTGAGCCTGTAGCCTGTAAGACAGTGTGAGCCTGTAGCCTGTAGGACAGTGTGAGCCTGTAGGACAGTGTGAGCCTGTAAGACAGTGTGAGCCTGTAAGACAGTGTGAGCCTGTAAGACAGTGTGAGCCTGTAGGACAGTGTGAGCCTGTAGCCTGTAAGACAGTGTGAGCCTGTAGGACAGTGTGAGCCTGTAGGACAGTGTGAGCCTGTAAGACAGTGTGAGCCTGTAGGACAGTGTGAGCCTGTAGCCTGTAAGACAGTGTGAGCCTGTAGGACAGTGTGAGCCTGTAGCCTGTAGGACAGTGTGAGCCTGTAGCCTGTAGGACAGTGTGAGCCTGTAGCCTGTAAGACAGTGTGAGCCTGTAGGACAGTGTGAGCCTGTAGGACAGTGTGAGCCTGTAGGACAGTGTGAGCCTGTAGCCTGTAAGACAGTGTGAGCCTGTAGGACAGTGTGAGCCTGTAGCCTGTAAGACAGTGTGAGCCTGTAAGACAGTGTGAGCCTGTAAGACAGTGTGAGCCTGTAGGACAGTGTGAGCCTGTAGCCTGTAAGACAGTGTGAGCCTGTAAGACAGTGTGAGCCTGTAGGACAGTGTGAGCCTGTAGCCTGTAGGACAGTGTGAGCCTGTAAGACAGTGTGAGCCTGTAGGACAGTGTGAGCCTGTAGGACAGTGTGAGCCTGTACGACAGTGTGAGCCTGTAGGACAGTGTGAGCCTGTAAGACAGTGTGAGCCTGTAGCCTGTAAGACAGTGTGAGCCTGTAGGACAGTGTGAGCCTGTAGGACAGTGTGAGCCTGTAGGACAGTGTGAGCCTGTAGGACAGTGTGAGCCTGTAAGACAGTGTGAGCCTGTAAGACAGTGTGAGCCTGTAAGACAGTGTGAGCCTGTAGGACAGTGTGAGCCTGTAGGTCAGTGTGAGCCTGTAAGACAGTGTGAGCCTGTAAGACAGTGTGAGCCTGTAGCCTGTAAGACAGTGTGAGCCTGTAGGACAGTGTGAGCCTGTAGGACAGTGTGAGCCTGTAGGACAGTGTGAGCCTGTAGCCTGTAAGACAGTGTGAGCCTGTAAGACAGTGTGAGCCTGTAGGACAGTGTGAGCCTGTAGGACAGTGTGAGCCTGTAGCCTGTAGGACAGTGTGAGCCTGAAGCCTGTAAGACAGTGTGAGCCTGTAGGACAGTGTGAGCCTGTAGGACAGTGTGAGCCTGTAGGACAGTGTGAGCCTGTAGCCTGTAAGACAGTGTGAGCCTGTAGGACAGTGTGAGCCTGTAGCCTGTAGGACAGTGTGAGCCTGTAAGACAGTGTGAGCGTGTAGGACAGTGTGAGCCTGTAGCCTGTAAGACAGTGTGAGCCTGTAAGACAGTGTGAGCCTGTAAGACAGTGTGAGCCTGTAAGACAGTGTGAGCCTGTAAGACAGTGTGAGCCTGTAGCCTGTAAGACAGTGTGAGCCTGTAGCCTGTAAGACAGTGTGAGCCTGTAAGACAGTGTGAGCCTGTAAGACAGTGTGAGCCTGTAGCCTGTAAGACAGTGTGAGCCTGTAAGACAGTGTGAGCCTGTAAGACAGTGTGAGCCTGTAAGACAGTGTGAGCCTGTAGCCTGTAAGACAGTGTGAGCCTGTAAGACAGTGTGAGCCTGTAGGACAGTGTGAGCCTGTAGCCTGTAAGACAGTGTGAGCCTGTAAGACAGTGTGAGCTTGTAAGACAGTGTGAGCCTGTAGCCTGTAGGACAGTGTGAGCCTGTAGCCTGTAGGACAGTGTAAGCCTGTAGCCTGTAGGACAGTGTGAGCCTGTAGCCTGTAGGACAGTGTGAGCCTGTAGGACAGTGTGAGCCTGTAGCCTGTAAGACAGTGTGAGCCTGTAAGACAGTGTGAGCCTGTAAGACAGTGTGAGCCTGTAGCCTGTAAGACAGTGTGAGCCTGTAGCCTGTAAGACAGTGTAAGCATGTAGCCTGTAAGACAGTGTGAGCCTGTAGCCTGTAAGACAGTGTAAGCCTGTAGCCTGTAAGACAGTGTGAGCCTGTAGCCTGTAAGACAGTGTGAGCCTGTAAGACAGTGTGAGCCTGTAGCCTGTAAGACAGTGTGAGCCTGTAAGACAGTGTGAGCCTGTAAGACAGTGTGAGCCTGTAGGACAGTGTGAGCCTGTAGGACAGTGTGAGCCTGTAGCCTGTAAGACAGTGTGAGCCTGTAGGACAGTGTGAGCCTGTAGGACAGTGTGAGCCTGTAGGACAGTGTGAGCCTGTAAGACAGTGTGAGCCTGTAGGACAGTGTGAGCCTGTAGGACAGTGTGAGCCTGTAGCCTGTAGGACAGTGTGAGCCTGTAGGACAGTGTGAGCCTGTAGGACAGTGTGAGCCTGTAGGACAGTGTGAGCCTGTAGCCTGTAGGACAGTGTGAGCCTGTAGCCTGTAAGACAGTGTGAGCCTGTAGGACAGTGTGAGCCTGTAGGACAATGTGAGCCTGTAGGACAGTGTGAGCCTGTAGGACAGTGTGAGCCTGTAGGACAGTGTGAGCCTGTAGGACAGTGTGAGCCTGTAGGACAGTGTGAGCCTGTAGGACAGTGTGAGCCTGTAGGACAGTGTGAGCCTGTAGGACAGTGTGAGCCTGTAGGACAGTGTGAGCCTGTAGGACAGTGTGAGCCTGTAGGACAGTGTGAGCCTGTAGCCTGTAAGACAGTGTGAGCCTGTAGGACAGTGTGAGCCTGTAGCCTGTAGGACAGTGTGAGCCTGTAGGACAGTGTGAGCCTGTAGGACAGTGTGAGCCTGTAGGACAGTGTGAGCCTGTAGGACAGTGTGAGCCTGTAGGACAGTGTGAGCCTGTAGGACAGTGTGAGCCTGTAAGACAGTGTGAGCCTGTAGCCTGTAAGACAGTGTGAGCCTGTAGGACAGTGTGAGCCTGTAGGACAGTGTGAGCCTGTAGGACAGTGTGAGCCCTTAGGACAGTGTGAGCCTGTAGGACAGTGTGAGCCTGTAGGACAGTGTGAGCCTGTAGGACAGTGTGAGCCTGTAGCCTGTAAGACAGTGTGAGCCTGTAGGACAGTGTGAGCCTGTAGCCTGTAGGACAGTGTGAGCCTGTAGGACAGTGTGAGCCTGTAAGACAGTGTGAGCCTGTAAGACAGTGTGAGCCTGTAGGACAGTGTGAGCCTGTAGCCTGTAAGACAGTGTGAGCCTGTAAGACAGTGTGAGCCTGTAGCCTGTAAGACAGTGTGAGCCTGTAAGACAGTGTGAGCCTGTAGGACAGTGTGAGCCTGTAGCCTGTAAGACAGTGTGAGCCTGTAGGACAGTGTGAGCCTGTAGGACAGTGTGAGCCTGTAGCCTGTAAGACAGTGTGAGCCTGTAGGACAGTGTGAGCCTGTAAGACAGTGTGAGCCTGTAGCCTGTAAGACAGTGTGAGCCTGTAGGACAGTGTGAGCCTGTAGGACAGTGTGAGCCTGTAGCCTGTAAGACAGTGTGAGCCTGTAAGACAGTGTGAGCCTGTAAGACAGTGTGAGCCTGTAGCCTGTAAGACAGTGTGAGCCTGTAAGACAGTGTGAGCCTGTAGGACAGTGTGAGCCTGTAGCCTGTAAGACAGTGTGAGCCTGTAGGACAGTGTGAGCCTGTAAGACAGTGTGAGCCTGTAAGACAGTGTGAGCCTGTAGCCTGTAAGACAGTGTGAGCCTGTAAGACAGTGTGAGCCTGTAGGACAGTGTGAGCCTGTAGCCTGTAAGACAGTGTGAGCCTGTAAGACAGTGTGAGCCTGTAAGACAGTGTGAGCCTGTAGCCTGTAAGACAGTGTGAGCCTGTAGCCTGTAAGACAGTGTGAGCCTGTAGCCTGTAAGACAGTGTGAGCCTGTAAGACAGTGTGAGCCTGTAAGACAGTGTGAGCCTGTAGCCTGTAAGACAGTGTGAGCCTGTAGCCTGTAGGACAGTGTGAGCCTGTAGCCTGTAAGACAGTGTGAGCCTGTAGCCTGTAAGACAGTGTGAGCCTGTAGGACAGTGTGAGCCTGTAGGACAGTGTGAGC